GCTCGAAACAATATTGGGCAATCGCAGCAATGCTTCGCTGTCCGTGGAGATCAGCACTGGCACATCGGTGTAGCTGCAGCTCCCTTCTGGTGGGGGAAATATCTATTTGACTGCAATGTCGATGGCTTATGCAAAAATCTCTTACCATCTCCGACTCGAAATTGCGTAAAATTTTGTTCGTAGTGCTTTCATAATTCAATTTCTTTCGACCAGCTGAGGGAAACAGCTGTTCATTGCAGGGATGACGGCTTTATTATGCAAATATTCCAAAAATTTTTTTTTTTTTTGAATATTTTCACATTCAAATTACTAGTGGCGTGCTTTTTGAAAAATAAAACAATTATTTCAAGTTTTATTGAACTTATTTTTATTTATGTTTTATTGCTATTTCAATTATTTTTACGCACCCTACTTTTGGAAAATTTACTAATTTGTGTTCGATACTGTTGCGATATTCGTTTTCGAAGTTTTATGTATATATGATTTAACTCAGTTACATTTAATGTGATCTTTAGTTGAATACTTTTTGTAGTTTGTGGTAAGTGAAAATCTCACTGTTCGCAAATATTTAGTCTAGTATTGAATAGTTCGTTTTTGCATTATTTTTTACTTTTACTTTTAGGATGTACTGTTTGTTTATGCTTAAATATACTTTTGTTTTCAGAAAGGCTAAGACAAGACTAAACAATTTTGAAAATTTTGCTTTTATATGACTTAAAAAGTATTTAGTTTTTAATTATAATTTATATATTTGGCATTCATTCGAAAATATGAGGATCAAAGATTAAAGAAAATAAGTGTATATATATTTTGTGTGGATATTTACAAACACTTCTATTTATTTTTATTTTTTTTTTCATTTATATGTCAAACAACGTATTGAAATTTTGGTATTGAAAAAGTTTTTGCTTCTAATGTAAAGTAATTTATTTTTATTCTTAAAAAAAAGTCCAAACGGGTTCAGGTTAAAAAACAAATTATTCAAATAAAATATCTACAAAATTTAATTTCATAAAAAAAATAAAATTAAAAAAATAATAATAAAATTTTTTTTAAATTAATATGAAAGATTATATAAATTTTGCTAAACCAAGATGTGATATTTTACAAACATTATTTTTATTTTTAGAAAGTTGTTTCATTATAAAAAATTAAATAAAAAACCAGTAATATAAAAAAATTTTGTATTAAAAAAAGTAAAAACGTTTTCAATCAAAATGAAAATAAATATATATGTATGTATATATGTACATAAGTTTCGTCAAAACAAAATTCAACATTTTACAAAAATTTTTTTTTTTATTTTTAGAAAGTTGTTTCACTTATAAAACTCCTACTTTTTACGATTTGATTGATCTGATAAACACGATAGTCCTTTATTTCATTAAAGTACGCTCACTACTAATTAATTGTTTTATTTATGTACGTATTCAAGCAATGATTAATGCATATATCGTCAACTAAAATGCAAAACAACAAAAAAATTAAAATTTTTATTGCTTACGATTGACAGCAACATATTACATACATATGTATGTGTATCCATAAAATTTTAAACTGCCGCTATCCAATAATATAACCAATAAAGAATGGTTCTTTATAATATTATTTTTAATAATAATATTTATTTGGTTATAACCAAAACTTAAAATTTATTTTCATTTGGTTTCTTTTATATCRTTTTTTCCTTCTCCTTCTCCTTCGCCTTCAAACTTATGAAAAGTGAATTTACGTGTTTTGCATTTTAGATCACGATATGTATATATGTATGTATGTATGAACGACTACGTGTAGTTTTAAGCATTATTTAAGGTTGCTGCAAATAAAAGGCACTTTAGGGATTTAATTGTTAGTAATCAGATCCTTTAAATGTTTTTTTTTTTTTTTGTTTTTGTTGTAAGAATTAGTCCTATCTAACATAAATTAGTATACGCTTTCGTTGCTATCAAAATTTTCGCACAAACGCTAGTCATCGAATTTTCTAAAGAATCTCTAAGTTTTTGTAAAACACAAGAGTAGCTAAATCTGTAAATACTCAGTCCAATGGGCTTCACTAGAGGCATCACATGATAACCGGTTATTACTTTGATAATCGTTATTGTTTTCGAGTATAAAAAGCAGTTGGTTATTATTCTATTCAAATTCTTTGCTGCCACATTTCATTTGTTGGCCAATATTTAGTTGATATCTATAGCATTATGTACTTATGTATGTATACATATTTATAGTATAGTATATTGACTAACCTAAGAGTATCGAGTCAGTATAGCAAATTCGATCGAATGTCCTTCAGCTAAATGCTTTTATCTGTTTTACGGCTAAATGCGTCTAATTTCCGGCACATACCAGCCATAGTATGTCTTAGTTTTTATATATTAATTAGTTCTTTTTATGCAATCTGTAGAATTCATTACATACACTTTTTGAGTATATAAAGTTGATTGTTTCTACACAACTTTCTTTATTCAATAACTCTCGGAAATACCACAAGCATCTTGAATGTAAACAAAGCAAATAATTTTTTAATTGAATTATAAATCATAAAAGTATAATAGAATAGTGGAAATAGTTTTAACTGTCTGTTTAAGCTCCAAAATCTGGGTGAATGCCTGCGACCAAATCGTAAGTGCTAAATGTATTTCCTGCATATAGAATTGTGCTCGGAAGTTTTGCACTCAAATCTGAAATCCGTTTCTTGAAGCCTTATATAAAAGCTGAGAAACATGCAACTCCTATTGATTAAGTTAAGTGATTGAGTTGATGTCTTCAAAATACCAGGTTGTTCAACAAGTTTTGTCGTTCGATGAGACAGGGCGTTGCTAACAGCCCAAACTTTTTTTTTGTTTTTGATTTGAGTTGGATATCGTGCACTGATAAAATTCTTATTTATGGAAGGTGTAGCACCAAAAGAAATTCAACTACAATTAGAACAGAAGAAAGATGGGTTGTTGCTGAATTTAAACGTGGTCGTACTAGCCTTGAAGACAATCCACGTGAAGGCCGTCAAAAACGTGCGCCAACAACAGAAATCGTAGCCTAAATACAGGATATGGTTTTGGAAGATCGTCGATAGACTGAGAGAGATTTAGTGCTCTAGCTCGACAGATCTCATTAGGCACTGTGAGCCTTGGGTGCCGCTTTCGCTAACAATGGAACAAAAACACATGCGAATGCGACTTTCTCAGCAATATTTGCAGCGTTTTAAAAAGGATAAAGTGCGTTTTTGTGCGTTAATTCATCACTATGGATGAGACTTGGGTTTATCACCAAGATCCTGAATCAAAACAAGAGGCTAAAGAGTTGTGTGGACCTGGTTGTTCGGCTTGGAAACGAGTTTGTGTTCGGAAATTGGCCAATGAGGTTATGGCATCATTTTTTTTAGGACGCGAGAGGAGTTTTGTTTGTGGATTACTTGCAAACTGTAAAACAATTAATTCTGAATACTATTGCAACCTTTTGGACCAGTTGAAGGGAAAAAATTTTGAAAAAAGACCCAGTTTGCAGAAGAAAAAAAAGCTTTTTCATTAGGAAGTACACCGTGTCACAAGAGCATTTTGACAGTGGCTAAAATACATGAATTAAAGTACAAATTGTTGGAGCATCCACCGTATTCACCAGATGCGACCCCCAGCTACTTCCATTTGTTTCCAAAGCTCAAAAAAAGTATGCGTGGCAAGCGGTTTTCATCAAAAGAGGTTATGACGGGTGTTGAAGCGTATTTTGCAGATTTTCCAGATTCTCACTTTAGGGATGTGATCCAAAGATTGGAGGATCGTGTATTTTTAATCATAAAATTGTATTTTTCTTATCAAACGACAAAACTTATTATGCTCACTATATTTACTGTGGCTCGTATAAAATATTTAATTCACGAAGCCTATTGTTGCAAATTTATTCTCTTTACAACTTTATTATCATATTTAATTCACAATGACTTGTTGTAGCCAATTAAATATTCAAACGCAGTCACTTTGGATAAAACAAAGGAAACAACAAAAAGCGACACGCTTTAAGAATTTTCCTGCATTTAAAAAACGTTAAAACCATAAATTCGTTGAAAGGATTAACGAAAAAAATAATGCAAGCGCTTTTGCAAATCCGAAAGTCAAATAACCCAAAAAATCAAATTTTTATGAACTTCTCGCAGCGCAAAAACCAACACTGATCCGCTCGGATTGCTTACATTCAGCCATAAGCATATAAAGTGCTCGTAATCTTTCTATTAATTTCGCTTTTAACTCTTTTTTTCCATTCGGTTTGTGATTTTTATTGAAACATTTTTATTATTTCTTTACTAATTAAATTTAATTACATTGTATGCCAGTGTTTATTGTATTTTGTTTGTGTATATACGTACTATATAAATTTTATATAATATATGCATGTATGTATATTTATAATATATGTAAACGTTTATATCTAAGTTGTGATATAACAAACATTATCATCTCTACAAATTCCTTTCAATTCAAAATGGTTGTGTTAATGAGTTTTTGTTTGTGGTTTTTTTTATTTTTTATTTTTTTTTGTTTTTAATAAAAGTGTTTAATTTAGTTTATGTTTTTTGCTTTCCTTTATCATGTTGTTTGTTTTTAACAACAATAATTGCGGCGTAGTGGCGACGCTTTGCATTTGCATTTATCTCACTACTCTCACATCAAACGTCTGCTTTAACTCCCGGAGCATTAGGAGCATTTAATTAATTATTGAATAAGTTCGGCCGAATGCAGCCTAGGGACCGACACAATGCACTTTCGCTGTTCGAAAGTGGAGCAATCCAAATTGTGCAACACAATACATGCATACACACACATGTATATACGTATGTATGTAGTGGGTGCAAGTGAAATTCGTTTGGTGATATGGAAATCGATTGGAAATCAAAAGACATGATTGAAATAATAATAGAAATCAGTCTCGACTTGTGGCTGATTGCTTGGCTTTTGTGGATTAGTGGATTTCATGTCCCTAGGGCTGTGTGGCTCATGATAATGATTATGATGGTTGTGGTGGTGGTGGTGATTGTGGCTGTGGTAGTTATCATCATCATCGAAATTCTTCAAATGATCGGCATCATAATCATTATTGCTATCAGCTATAAATATGTTAATGAAGAATATTAAGACGACTACCAAATAAAGGATACAAATTAGTATTACAACAAATTGATGATGACAACAACAATAATATAACATTCCCTATTATATAACAGCTTGTTCCACATAGTTGGCGGGCAGCATTCCGGTCTTGCCAGTACGTTCGACGCGGCCGGTCATCCAACCGGAATCGGCTGACTCCACCTCAAAGATAACGTCGCCTTCGCGGAAGCTCACTTCATCGGTGTCCTGGGCCTCATAATCGTACAGTGCACGATACACACGCTGGCAAGAGAAAACATAAAAAAACAATATTATTTATTTGGAAAAAAATTTTATAGTTTTTAGTTTCTAATAGATGAAAAAACTCTACATGCGATTGAAAATATTGTAGGTTAGTTTTCAAGACGTTTGATAAAGTCTGTTTTATGAAAAACTGCTAAAAAAAATAGGTTTTTATTGGATGCCTAAAGTTCGATTTGACAATTTTCGTCAAAACTTAAAATTCAAGTGAGCTATTTTACAAGGTTTGGAGGCAACTTGTATCTATTTACTTTGAGAAAGCTACGTGGGGTTATTTGCTCACCTAAAATCACAAGCGTAAGCTTTTAGAATTGAAAAAATATTACGACGGGAAGATTTTAGAAGTTAGATCAATGTTTCCTTGGTAAGCGTGGCAGATAATTGAAAAATATTTATTAATTAAAAAGATTAAACTATTCAGATCTGAAATTGAATTATGGGAATTAGTTTAACACTTTCTAATTGCAAATTAAAGAATTTCATAGTTTTAAAAACTCTCCCTATCTCTAGGAAAAACTATTAACGAGCAAGAACAAGATTGAATGATAAAAATTCGACTACAGAGGAATCTTTATTTATAATACTTATGGGATTTGTTTAAAAAAAAAATTTTTTTTCGCTCTTAGCTAATATTTACAGTAAACCCTCAACGAATGCAGATATCTGAATTAACTAGTTTGGTACYTAGAATACACTGACTTGAAAATTAATTTCAGTCCGTTATAAACTTACCAGATTTGACTTCGATTGTTGTTGTTGCATCATTTGTTGATAATACTGTTGCTGTTGCTGCTGCTGCTGCTGGAGCGCCCGCTGTTGCTGCTGTTGATGTAATAATTGCTGTTGTTGATGTTGTTGTTGCTGTTGCTGCTGATGTTGTTGTTGTTGTTGCGACTGTTGCTGATGCAATTGGTGATGCGATGCCGTCTCACCGGCCAAGGAGCTATAAATGCCGTTGGCAGGGTCTATGTCAGCTATGGAGCCGATGCGCTTCGGATAGGCGTTGTTCACTATAGCGCAAAGAAATATGTAGAATTAATTAAAACCGCATTGCATTTAATATCGCAAGAATATTACTAGGCGACAACGAAAAGAACACAAGAAGCGCGCTTAGCGATAAACGGGACTCATGTTTAGGAATGACTATGAATCAATTCTGCTTAGGGCAGACGACAAACGCACAAATTCCCCATTTACTGTTTACAATATACTACCGTTATTATTTACAACCAAACCGGGCGTGTACTTTACATATTAAGTTCAATTCAAATGGTTAGACACGGCGGGCACTAGCCTACACTCACCCGAACCGCGGCTGTCCGAGCTGTAAATGAGCGTTGTACTGGGTCGGCCGGTGTTGGGCATGGGGCGTGGCCCATCGGTCAACGGATCGTAGTCGGCAATCTTTCCAATGCTATTCACCGCGCCGGCTGTTGCACTGCCGTTATTCACCAGGCCGCCGCTGCCAACACTTGGGTGACTGTGATTGCTGTTGCTGCCGCCAATGGCTGCGCCGGTGCTGACGGCGCCGTTGCTGTTGTGATGCGTCAGCCCGCCTGGTGCACCGCCCAACGATGTGCTTGACGAGAAGTGACTGTTGTAGTTGTTACTGGTGTAGATTTGCTGGGTCGCTTGCGGGCCACCGCCGTGCCCAGTGCCGGCGATGGCACCGTTGTTGGCGTTGGCGGCGCTGACCGCGTTGCTGTTGCTGTGATACGAGGCGGTCTTCTGCGGCTGCTGCTGCTGCTGTTGTTGTTGTTGATAACTCAAGTGGTTATTGTTGCTATTGTTGTTGCTGTTGGCCGTGGCGGCGCTCGTGTAGTTGTCATACTGGTCATAGGCGGCGCTGTTGGTCCCGCTGCCGAAGCCGCCCCCGCCGCCGCCGCTGGTCATATTCTCGTTGAGGTGCGCGGCTTGTGCGCCACCAGTTGGGTGATGCGAATTGTGCAGTATTGCCGAACGCAGTTGATTGTACGTGTTTGACGATTGTTGTTGTTGTTGTTGGTGCGGCTGGATTGGTTGATTTGCTGCCGCTGTTGGATACAAATGTGATGTTTGTTTAATGGGTTGTTGCTGTTGCTGTTGCAGCATTTGTTGTTGTTGCTGCTGTTGGTGGTGGTGTTGTTGCTGTTGCAACAGTTGCTGCTGTTGCTGGTGATATTGTTGGCGTAGCGCCTGTGGCTGCTGGTAATGTTGGTATTGTTCGTGTTGTTGGCCATGTTGTGCATGTTGTTGTAGGTGGTGGTGTGGATGGTGTTGGTAGTGTTGTTGTTGTTGTTGTTGTGATGCCTGCTGTTGTGCCTGATAATTTTGATGTTGTTGCTGTGCTGGCGGCGGCGCCTGATAGTGTGCATGTGTGTTCTGCTTGTGCAGCTGTGCTTGCTGTTGTTGTTGCTGTAGCTGTTGTGATTGCAGTGTTTGCTGTCTGTGATTGTGACTTTGAGTGTGCTGCTGCTGCAGTGCCTGCTGCTGGTGTTGTTGTTGTTGTTGTTGTTGTTGTTGTTGTTGGCTATTGTAAATGTGTGTACTGCCGCTGCTGGCCGCTGCCTGAGTGCTGGACACAATGACGGCCGTGTTGAGGGGCTGGTGCTGTATCGGTGGCGGTGGCAGTGTTGCGGCGGCCGCTGCAGCTGCTGCTATTGGTGGTGTGGGAGCATATTGTGAGAACTGTTCGGCAGCCAATGTTTCAGAGAAATACTCCGTTTCCTCTGAATTTTATTCGTGCATTTTTCACACAATTTTCAATTTGTTTTTGTGTTTGTTTTTGGATGCGGTTTGCAATGAGTGTGTTGATGAGGGTGCACAAGGTGGGTGGTTGTGTTCAAGTGCCGTCAATGAAGGGTTAATAATTGTCGCACAGGCAGTGATGATTGCACGAGTGTGTGTGTATGTATGTACAGTGTTCGCAATGTCGTTTGGCGCATTAAGTTGTTTGTGTATTTTGTGTGTGTTTTGTTTTTTCATTTTTTTTAGCCAGCACAAAATGAAAACGTAAACAGACAACACATGCACGATGTCACAGATGTAAAAATGAAACAAAAAAGCAAATAAAAAATGAACAAGTGTTTCGTAGTCGTATAACAATGCAATTTGTGTCTAGCACTCGTATAAATATGTATGTGGATGTATTGTTGTTGCATTATATGAGTTTTGATGCTTTATATGCAGTTAGAACAATATTACAGGTTCTATGAACCACAAGATACCTCAAGTGTTTGAAAATTTCTGCTTTGCCATGCAAATTAGGCCTTCAAGTTTATAAAATAAACTAATTAAATTAGCCGCAGTAAGATTAAACTACCAAAAAAATCTTAAAAATTTCTTTTATTCATTATAGCCACCATTTTCGTGCCAATAAATTACACTGTGCTACAAACTAAGCATGCATATCTGTATGTACATATCGTCATCTAAAATGCAAAATAACGTAAAATCAGTTTTCATAAGTTTGCAGGCGAAGGAAATACGTTGCAATAGAAGTCAATAATATGGGAAACAATTTTGAGGATTGGTTATATATTGGTTATAAATTGGTTATATATTCCTTATATATTCGTTATAAAATGGTTATATATAGGTTATAAGTTCGTTACATATTGGTTATATATAGGTTATATCTGACAGCGGCAGCTGAAAATTTTATGCTACATATATGTAGAGAATCGGTAGCAATAACAAACTCAATTTTTTTGCATTTTAGGTGACGAAATATATTTCTGTATGCCGCAGAGCGCCATAACCATTTTACTAGATATAATTTGAACAACAATTCGAGTGTCTGGCTGATCAAAGATCAAATGCAATTAGCCTAGTCTACTGTTTTTAGTTTTAGTTCGATGGTCTAAACACAATGCGGCTGTTATGTATGGAATAATTAATGAAAATTAATGAGCTTAAATTCCTACACTAACGAGCATAATGTGAGCACATAAAATGAATCAGATTTAGGCGCAAAGCCGGGTGCACATTTTTCATAATTACAAATTAATATATAAGACATTGCTTGTTTACGGTAAATAGTGGAAGCATCACATACCTCGGACGTCGGCGATCTCAGCTGCCTCGCGCTGCTTCTCCATGGCTGCCTTCTTCTCCAAGTCGCCATGATACGCAATGTTCGAGATGATTTTTGTATTCTGCTTGATTCGCAATGTTTCGGGATCGTCGGCGACCTGTTGGCAATTTATAAATATACATAAATATGTGTGTAATAAATAAAAAATAAATTTTGGAAGTTATACAAACAATCAATTGGACTTTAATTGTGTGCGAATGTTTCGAAACACATTGAATTTTGCTCATTTCGGCAAACAAACATTTTTTCATTATTTATTATTCCAACTGTTTATGGAATTAGACTTAATAGTGCAATATGCTACCATGTAGCATAATTTAAGCGTTATATTTTTTTTTTTTAATAAAAACTCCATTTTAAAATTAGTTTTGTGCTACTATCGCAGCATTTTGTCTGTGAATTTCACTGACCTGTGTAAATTTGCCTTTAGATTTTTCAAAGTCTTCGTGATACTTCACATTGGATTGGATTTTTGTGTTCTCTGCTATTCGCTTCAGTTCGGGTGTGTCCGCGATGACGGTTGCTTTGGCCTTTGGAATGTGCCTGCAATAAAGGTAATATCTAATTAATCAGTGAGAGAGAAAACATTACCGAACAAAAATATAAAAATCTGAGACCATTAGGAATATTATCTTAGATAACGTATATGATAAATGTTTCCATATCCTGCTAAGTTGGGTGACTTAAAACCCCCATTCTTTCTTTATAATTTAAGGGCCTGTTTTTGGAAATTTTTTTTCATAGACAATAACATAGACAATATTTTTTTTATTCTACAATAGAACTTTTTTCACATACATGAGTATATCGTGGAGTGTATAAACTAATTTTTTCGGAATTTTTTGATGACATCTTTCGGAAAAATAGCTGAGTGAATGAGATATGTTTTTTCACTGGCGGATACGATTTCTCATCTTTTGATCATCTAATACACAAAAACCCAATTTATTCTCAAAAAGTACGTGAATGGTTATCGTCCCTATTAGAATCATGAAAAAATGTTGATAAACAAAAAAAGCAAATAACTTTTTTTTTCTTAATTTGTTTGCCACGAAGTTTGTAGCACCCAGAAGGAAGCGTCGGAGACCTTATAAAGTAGATATATAAATGGTCAGTATGTTGAGCTGAGTCGATTTAGCCATGTCAGTCTGTCTGTCTGTCTGTATATATTCGAACAAGTCCCTCAGTTTTTAAGATCTCCTTTTGATTTTTGTAAACGTCATTTTCTCTTCAAGAAGCTGCTCATTTGTCGCAACCGCCGATATCGGGCCGCTATAACATATAGCTGCCATACATACTGAACGATCGGAATCAAGGGCTTGTATGGAAAACTTTCGCATTTGACTTGGTAACTGCACGAAATTTGGCATGGGTTACTGTTTAAGGTAATAAAATAATTTCCGAAAAAATTGTTCGGATCGGATTACTATAGCATTTAGCTCCCATACAAACTGAACACATATTTACTAAAAGAAATGCAACTGTGAAGGGTATATTAGCTTCGGTGCGGTACGTTTTTTCTAGTTTTATATAAATTTTGTTATAGCATTGTCAATAAATTATAAAAAATTATGAATCTAGTAGTAGTTGTCTAAAAAGAAATTAATCAAATCCGTTGAGTAGTTCGACCGAAATCATGTCCGCCAGTTTAAAGAGAGTTTTGGGAAAAACGCGTTTAAAGTGCCAGTGCCAGGTGTGCACTCCGAGCGCTCCGCACGTCGAGCGTTATTATTTTTGGGCCTTTTTCGAAACCCTCCAATGGTAAAGTGGGTTTCTACATAAATTCCAAGGGTATAAGGGAACAGAAAATGCAAAAAAAATTTTTTTTTTTTGAAAAAAGATTACCCTACTGACCCCTTCAGGAATATATTTATGGTTTTGGAACAATCTTAATCCTAAAATGAGGCATCAAAAACTATTATACCAACAAACTTTTTATCTCAAACCTGCTTCCAATGAGGTTGCCCCATAGTGATACTTCAATAGTAAAGTTTGTCACAGTAACCCGATTTTTAGAAGAATGGAAAGAACGATCAAGTAATACGAAAACGTAGTATCAAACATTTTACAACATTGGACACTTGATACCAGGGAGTATTATAAATCCATAATTAATTTGCTCTTCTTAGTCTGATCAAACAACTGTATATATGTATATATGTATGTATGTACATTGTATGTACAAGTGTATTTCCCGCTAACAGGTGTTTGCATAACCAGTTCCACCGGACAATTAAGAATTAATGAAATCTTATCTCGGCGATAACAAATAATAGAAAAACAACACAATTAATAAACGGAGTAAACAAATACCGCTCTAAACACATACAAACACAACGCACACGCACACAAAACCACCAACTAATCATCACCAAAGCTTTCACAGGCGAGCGCGAAACAATTAATGCAACTTGTTGTGAGTGTCACCCTCAACCGAATCGATAGATCGTAAAATTTTGTAATAAACAATACAAAAACAACAAAAAACTTCGTTGCTGACGTTTAGACGTCAATCAGTGAGAGCGACTGGGAAAGGGAGAGATGAAAGCATGAAAAAGCGATCATTCTGCGGTAAACGCGATACGAGCGCCACATCAACCGTTACAAAAACGACAACAACAAATTGGTGGTTAACCCATTATTGCGATAATTGGTGGCGGCAATGAGGTGTTAACGATGTTGACGCATTCGGAAAATAATTGAGAGCTTTTGCATTTCACTCTTTTTGCTTCATTCATAAAGCAGAGCCTGATAAGATATGATGATATATTGAGTGCAATTGACTTTTACATATATAACACTTTTTAACTGGACTGTGGATAAAACTGCAGTTGCTTATTTTCGAAGTATGGTATGGTATGATGCTCCATTAAGAGTGTTAGGAGAGTAATATATGAGAAGAGTACCAAGTGTAACAGCTGATCCAAGTAGAGGTATTTCTTGTCATGTTATTCTTGTTCAGTGTTGTTTGGCATTTTACCAAGGAAATACTTACGCTGGAACAACGTTTATAAATCGCTCAACTTTCTGACGAAAATTCACGTTCTATAAAGAATGTGTTTCGCGCGCTTCGCTCAACTTATAGTCAACATAATAGGCCTACTGAGAGTACCATTCACAGCACCATTACTCATCTTTGGACCCAGCATTCGGTATTAGATAATATTCGACCGAATAGATGACGTATAGCACGCAGTGAAGAAAATACAGTAGCCATAGTTGAAAGTGTAAACCAAGACATTAGATTGGGTGAAATGTTCCAAGAAGATCCAACGTTTTCGAGTCAAATTTTAATCGGCGATCAAGCTCATTTATGGTAGGTATGGAAACAGGCAAAATTTCCGCATATGGGACGAAGAGAAACCTGAAGAGATACAAGAGCTGCCATTCCATCTAGAAAAAAAATTCCAAGTTGCAGTTCTTTCGGAAGTGTAATCTTACATAGTTTTTAGTGACTTCCGTATCTCCTGTACTGGTTCGGAAGCCACACCGACGTAACTTTGTGGGTAGGTTAAGAAACCTTTCTATGACATCTGTTGGCGTGGTTCTTAATGTCCATGTAGACCCTGACATCTTCTACATGAATATAGGACGACATATGTCTACATAGTGTTTTTCAAAATTCTTCAAAGGTAATTGGTATGCTCAACCCCGTTAAGGCTCGGGGGATTACATGGCGGGTTTTTGTACCTTCGTTGTATGGATTACCATATCTGTCTTAACGCCACTTACCACTAAGATGGCCGAGGAGCCCATCGGTGTATGACTCTCGTGGCGTTGTTTATTACGTTACTTACTGTGTGTAGAAACTTCGCCGTCTCTGCATAAGCTATCAGTTTAGGTGCTTAAGCAGATAAGATAAGTCCGCATACGTAGTGGCCATAAGCCGCAACTTCTGTTCCAACACTTAATGCTTTTCGCTAAGTTTTAGCCATGGAAGAAATAATACCTCTTATTTACCAATTACTAGACATAAATTCCTACAAAGGAGGAAACCTCCGTAAAAGACACAGAAGTCTGTCACGCTTTGTTGTCGCCATCGTTTTCTATGTAAACAAACTCTTTTATTACGAAATGCCTCAATTGCTCCGTCGGATGACCGCGTTGCGAAGGAATGTGCGGCATAAGACCTCGTGGCACTGCCACAACGGATGGTCTTATGCTCGTTACACTTGCGGCTTCCTTACTTGTTAATGGGCTAAATGCTTCAAAAGCAATTAAAGGAAAATCGATATGTTGTACAGTTCCACATTCATGTGAGTGTGTGTGTGAGTGTGTGTGTGTGTGTGTGCGAGCATTGCAAAGTGCATTGTTCGCGGCTGTTGTCTGCGGCGTTGCGTATTTCCTTTGGTCCTCGCTTAATGTGACCAGAAAACAACTTCAAAATGCAGCACGGTTCAATGAACTCCACGCGAAAGGACACGACGAAACGAGTGGCGGAAGCAGAAATTCGCTAAAGACAATAATTCCAGTAATTTCGTTTCGATTTTCACTCGTGAGGTGAGCAGCGGCGGAGGGAGTTGTAAGACCGTTGGCGCTGTCAATGATAAATTCGTAATCGAAAGCGCATAATTGTAAACAAAACGATTGAAGTTGGCGTGCATCGAAGGGCCGCCATCAACAAGTCTTTGTGCAAGATACCCCTTCATAGGCGCCACTCATCCATATGTGCCCATCAATCAGTACTTACCAATAACGGTGCACGAAGGTAGTGCGCTGCTTGGGCAGCAAATCGGTGACAACGAGAGCCAAACACACAGACAAAGCACAAAAACAAAGTAAACGAACACACAAAGGCAAAACGAGAGCAAAATCTGGTGCTTTGGCACAGTGGCACAAGGCCGTTTGATGACCAACCCATCAAACACGCAAGCATACACACACACTCACGAAAACAACAAAAGCAATCGCTGCTGGTAACTTTTGAACTCGATACTCGTACGCGTGGCGAGGAGGCAGGAGGCCAACGTTTGGCACATGGAAGCCGGCAAACGCAACAGTGGTGACAGCAGCCAAGTGATGTGTGCACCAGTCGAGGCGAAAACAAAGCGAAGCAGAGCCAGCAAAGCGCGCCCGTAATCCGATGTGCCAATGTGTCCACAAATAAGCCATGCATGCGCCAGTTCCTAACCCACAAATCACACACGCTACTTAGAACCCCACCAACAGCTCGCGGCCCCAAGCGAGCCCCTGCCACGGCCCCATCGTCTCACCAGCGCCGTTTTTGTGGCGCGCTGTCACTCGCGGTAAAGACGCGCAGCTGTTGCCATAGGTCAACGAATCGTTGATGATTTAAGTGCTAACGGCAGCGGCGAAGCGGAAAAGGAAAACGAAACAATAACAACAGTGACAAGCTATACATTCGAGCGCTCAATAAAAAGACATAATGCATGATTTTATTGTTGTTGCTGCGTTGCATGTCCAATCGCGTATTCCCTGCTGCGTCGGCATGGTAAAAATAAGCAGATTATTAAGCGCGAGGATGCGTGTGCATTAGTGTGTGTGTGTGTGTGTGTGTGAGTGCTAGTGAGATAGCAAGGATT